AAATACAACTAAAACAACAGTTGGATAGCTATTCCCTACTTTATTGGTTAGGATTTTTAATTGCATAATGCAAACTGTTGATTTTCAAAATAAAAAAAAAACGTACCATGCCCGGCATTCCAATGCTGGAGCAGGAAAGCTTGAAATACCTACCAAAACACTTGAATACAGACATACTGTCAGTATGGAAATGCTTCTGTGCAGGTGTTAATCAAGTTAAATCCCAACAGCCAATCAGCAAGAAGTATAGAGGAAAGCTGCATGCCTATTGGTTGATGCCCTGCATTCCATTCTGATGACTCATGCCCAAACGTGGTAAACAAGGCAGACTAACACAGTAATACATTTGCTATAACACAGCCAAAAAACTCAAATAAAACCATTCTAAAAGCCTGTATCACAATAATTTAAAAAACGCCTAGGGGTATTTGCCCACTGTACCTCCATACCAAATTTCAGGACCTTAGGCCCTAAAATGAAGAAGCTGAATCCATTTAAAGATATGGCAGGAGGAGGAGGAGGAGGAGAAGGAGAAGAAACATCAGAAAAAGCAATATGGTTTCACCACACCACTTCGTGGTGTGGTGAACCCATAATTAAATAAGCCAAAGACTAGACCTTTGCTTGGCGAGTAATAGAATTTTCACTACCGGTTATAACTGTACTGAATATGCGTCCATTGGTTTATTACTTACACAATACACAATTTGAATAAATTTTGGTATTGCATTCGATATTCCTTCTTATTCCGCCCAAATGGGTCAATTTTAACAATTATAGAGCGTATTCGGTGTAAGAGTCACTTTACGTAAAGCGTAGTTATATGGTGCCGGGATTTAGGCGAAGCAAGCTTGTCCGAATGCAACATAACATATAACGTTAGCCGCAGCCGTTGTGAATTTGGAGTAGAGCGTTTACAAAAGCATCCCTTTTTTCCGTAGGATTTGGCAAACTTTTACAAGTTCCTGTATTTCATGGATGCAAAAAAAAAAAAAAAGCGAGCGCGCACGTGTAGTTTTTCCCATATATACTGTGTTTAACATTGTGCGGATGGCGTTCAGCACCAAGGACAGGCACCGTTTGCACGGAAACATGTTGGGAGTATGCCTGCAAGCCTGAGGCGTAATCTGCCGTTTTAATCCCACATAATTCGTAGTCAGACCGTTAAAATGCTTCATATGCAACAACACATAGCGTATACAATCGGTGCCAGTCCATGAAAAGCGTAACATTAGGTATATTAGTGCCTGGACTTTCGTACTTTCGGAGTCAGCCCGAATGAAACGTAACATGTAGCCGCTGCCATTGTGAATTTATCGTAGACCGTTGACAGTTCCACTCCTACCTTCCTCAAGTTCATGCCATATTTCTGTAAGGTTTAGCCAGCTTTAACAAGTCCCTGTACCTCACGGACGCTCAAAAAGCGAGCGCGCGGTTGTGGTTTTCACCTTAACTATAATCACTATGTGTTAAACATTACGTGGATGGCGTTCAGCACCAAGGACAGGCACCGTTTTGCATAGAAATACGTGGTGCCGCTTCCGAGGCTGACTGAATTAACAGATTTCGGCTGCTATACTTTGGAGATACCTATAATTGTAGCTGCTGACGCTGCCTGTGTGTAATTTTGACACAAACTAGTCCGAAATTTTGAGCAGAAAGCCATTATTTTTGTGAGGGGATTAATTCTTTGGCGGTAAAGTAGTTGTGGTCATCAGGTTAGTATTTAGACCAGCTGTTGTGCACAGCTGTGTAAAAATCAAAGTGGTACGGTCCACTCAGTCTGCGTCTGTTGGAGCCACGCGGGGAAGACCAGGAATTATTTCTCAACTTTTTGGTAAATTTTCGGCTTCCAACTCGAAAAATATTCATTCTAACGTGTAGAAGAAATCTTCGGGGATGTTTCCATGGCGAAGTTGTAGCGTTTTCGAGATTTTTGGCGAAGAAAATGCGGAATTCCTGACGTGGTTGATTTATGGAGAAGACGAGAAAATGGCGCCCAGTGGAAGCATGGCGTGGTCGTGGGGAGGGCAGAGTTTTCACAAGGTAAGACAACGAGCCGTGCCGTAGAATTTATTTCCTACAAACTGATAACAACACGTTACGATATATTTGTGGTAAGTTTGTGTGATTTTGAGAATGCAACGCGCTAGTTTTTGGGTGGTTTTTAACTTCTTCATTGTTTTCTTCACAGAAAAAAAATGGAGGTTTTTATACACCAATGGGCTTCTTGGTTTCAACAATTATTGTGTCCCTTCCCGGCAAAGGAAAGATGGGTAGGATATTTGTGGGACTTTTGTACATTAGAATGTGTTGGTGAAATGTTCAAAAGAATTTTCAAACATTACTCTTCTGTTGGTTAGATGTTTGAGAGAGGTACAAAATGGCAAGGTTTTACTCTAAATGACAGCCAATCTGATTTCTTGTTTCATCATCTTTTTTTTCTAATCAACATGAAAAAAATGTACATTTGCACATGTACTACTGCTACTAGTAACATGTAACATTCATGGTTTTGTATCAACCCCAAAATGCTCATTTTTTTGACACTAAGTTTTTGACACTAAGTCAGACTGTTTTTCTACTTGTTACAGTTTTCCATTTATCAATACAGTGATTTGAATAAATGTCCATCCTTTGTTGAGTTTGAATTATAAAAGAGGCTAGTATGTTTGTTGACTTTGTGACTTTGATGGTAGAAAAATGTGACTTTTATATTAGAATTTAGGGCTATCACTGGGTGCCTAAGCCTGTTGTTTTTTGGCCAAGCTATGAGAGCAAACCTAATGATATGACTTCTGTTTGTCCAGTTCAAAAATTTTAGCTAGGAAGTACATGTATTTTCCGTACTTACAGAGTTAACATCATTGTGTCTCTGGAAGTACTAGTAGTTTCATGTGTATCCAGTGTCAGTTGCAGACATGTGCCCTTCCATAGCATAGTGCATTTAAAGGCAGGAACATCCAAGCAACATGTCAAAATGTATAGTCACCAGCATTTAAATGTATGAAGCTTTAACGATAAGGTATCTAGTTTGCATTTGTTCAGTGTTTTATCCCAATGTCTATCACCTTGTAACTTATTCTTTTTCATACACTCCTGTAGTTAGCTGTGTCCTGAGAGTCTGCCAGCTCTGCAAGTGTTCCTGTCCAGATGAGATGAGTCTTCTGATGACAGAGGCACCATACAGTAGTATCAATGAGGCTAGGTGAGGAAAATCAGAACTCTGCATTTTGCGTACCATTTATACTTGATTATTTGAGACAAGTGTTTAACTTGGTATCTCTACATAGTTAGGTGGCTGCTGACT